TAACAACTTTTACATAAAAAATCATTTTTTACTACAGTATAAGAGAGTATGATATGAAAGCTAACTTCATTTAGACTGAATGAATGTTTTAGAACTGATTGTTTCTCAGATTGTCTAAAATGAGAAAGTCTTGGATTAAATCATTCAGAATCTTCAAAATAACAATTTTAAATAATTTTTATATTTTGCTATTTTAATTATTGATATTGGCTTGTTATTTTCTGATATATTCTACCTAGAATATATTGAATTGTATTTGAACATATTATATTTGCCCTAAAGCCATTACAGTGCTATTAATCTTGATATATCAGATCTGGAAAATGTCTGATTTTCCTTCTGGAAAAGTCAGGGCAATGAGTCATTTTGTTGGAGTACTGTATGTATAGAATTTTGGGAATAGAAATAATCGAAGTAACAAATGGTATTTTACTTACTATGACATGTTAATGTGTACATATGCCGCAAGTGATCGCATTATATGGTGTAGTTTATGAATTCAACTTTTTCCAACATGGAAATTTCCATCTTGTTTTCCTTATGGGTCTAAAATTTGAGAAGGTAGGCTGTTTTTTGTTTTATTTATTTATTTTTTACTTTGGAATTATATTTATAAAATTCTATCTTAAGGGAATCTATCTTTAAGGAAAAGTAATCAGATGTATTTTATACTTCAGCATTTTTCTCGAGTATTTCAATGTCATAGACTTGATTCCTTATTCTTTAATATTTTGACATTTCTTAGAGATACAGCTTATTTTACTCTCAATCAATATACTAAATTAGTCTTCTATTTAGATGCTGGTCTAATCTAATCTGGGGAAAAGTATCAAGGTTGTGTCTTTGGTCAATATTAGCACTTTGGTATATCTAATTATGTTTGGATTGTACAAAAAGAATGTCTTTTATTTTTGACAAGAAAAGAGTGATGTTAAACAAACTAAGTAAATATTTTATAACAAAAAGCAAATACTAGAATTTTGGAATTAAATACTACTGTAGCCTTATTACGTATATATAACGTTTTTTGTTAACAATCATGTTTACTGAAAATGAATGACATTTTATTATGCATTTAAGTGTTCATTTAAAGTTTGTTCAGTTTGCTCTGAAGATACAGATAAATTTATAAGGCCAAAACTACTTCAGTGACTGTTTATTACTTCTGTGATACCCTAAGTGAATACTATCCTTCTGCTTTTAAAATTGTATGTGTATCAGATTTCAAATATAAAGCCATGATGAAAGCACAGGATTAGGAAAAAGACTTTAGAAACATTTTTGTTAGTTTTTTTAAAAATAGCGAAATATTTTTTAAAGACTATACCTTGCTTATTTTAAGAGGTAGACATTATTAATGATCAGTAATTTTATGGTTATTTTATGGTTTTTTTTTAATAAAAAAACTCAGATTGTTTGGAGTGAGGCATTTTTGACAAGGCTTTTGTCAGTGATTTTTAATTTAAAGTCTGTAAACTTTGCAAAAATTTGTTTTTATATTCTTGGTCTAATCTGATCTTTATATCACTGAGTTTCTCCTAATTTAGGCTTTTTTTTTTTTTCATTTTAGTACTACTGTACATTTAATTGTTTATTTTGGATTTACAACACACATACACATACACACTCATTTAAATTGTGGTAACATCGGCTCCTATTACGGTTGTTATCTGAAAGTATAGACTGCCCCAGGTAATGCGGCTGCTGTGTGTCTACTGCCAGGTCACCCATATTCAGCACCGTGGTCCATTTTGCTCCCCTCTTTGCTCTCACACCTCCCCTGTCTGGATGCATCAATTCGTGGTCACTTTTCAAGGGCTAGTTTTTAAACTGATCTTTGTCTCCCCCTTACTTGGGTGTCTCTGTATACCACATATAATTGAAAGGAAATAGCCTAAGGCTGCATGACATCTAAAAAACTAACAATATGATTAACTAAATTATGCGGAAGTTCTAACAGATTCTTAGTTTGAACTTCTGTTGTATTGAAAGATCTCTTTCACAGAAGATTTGTGAAATATATATATATATATATATATATATATATATAAGCAATGTAAATATATTAGCAGAGTTACTTGTGCTGGAATAAACATGTATTCTGTACTATTACATATAATAAACATTATATATATGTATATATAAACTCTGCTAAACATATATATCTATTATGAATGATGATAAAGAAGGACTATTAGCTAATCAACACAATTTGAAGTAGATAGCAAACACCCTTATGGACCAACAGGTCCTGTGTAGTGCTTTTTTTTAAAGTTTATTACAGGTTATTGTTTCCATTTAAATTGAGATGTGTAGTGATTATATTGGCAACCAAAAAATATGGGTTTGCACAAAATGTAGCATAAAAACTGACATTATATTCATGCTCATGTACTTACCCAAAACTTAATGAAATTGGTTATTATATAAATCTGTTTATCTTCAGTATACTTGAAAAAAATTAAGGACCAGCATGCATATAACTTAGTAACTCTAACTGGTTATAGCTTAAATGAAGCATTGTAAAGAGTTCTCATTAGAACTCATTGCAATAATGTGAAATAAGTATTTGAACTGATTACCATTTAAATGAGACATGTCTGTTTTAATGAGTTTCTCTTTTAAACTCAGGCTGTCCTAAAGCAAATCATATTCATGAAAAGTAACCACAAGGAAGACAAGAAAGCCAAAAAATAGTTTTAACTATATTTAGTGTAACTGGAAGTTCTGCTTTAGGATTTATGATTTGAATGAATAATCTGTCTGTAAATTAAAATTAAGTGTTTTTTAAATTTAATATTAGTTAAAATCTATTTATTAATGAATATGTTCTTATAAATAGTGGAAAACATTTAGTTTCTGTTAGTATTGGGATCACTATCAAAATAATTTCATACTTTTGTGTAGTATAAATTTTGTATTTTCTACTAAAAATTAAATTATTAGTGTTAATATTCCTCACAAGAGTAAAAACATTAATTACTGCATAGTTGTAGCATGTACCACCTTTTAAAAACATTCTTGTTAAATAATATGTAAATAAAAGGTACAGTTGTCTACATGGAAAGAATTTTTTCTTTTATCCTTGTTTGACTTTATTTCATGTTTTTATTGGGTCCTGTAACATCTTAATAGAACGAAAATTTTCTTGGTAATCGGGATACCTCTGTTATATTTTTGGTTCTGCTACTGAACTTGTTTGGTGACCTGGAGTAAGTCACTCTATATTCTCTTAAGAAAAATTTTGAAAGCCTTCAACCCACATATCATGAAAAACATTATTTCAATGCTATTACAAAATAAGATACAGGAAAATACTAGACGAGGAAACTTCCTTTATTTGTATTGTTTTTATGTTTTCATCAGCAAAGTAAAATGTTTTCTTAGAGATGAAATATACACTATCAATTTATATTTAAGGGTACTCTTTAGTAGTAAGATAAATATCTTGGGAATTTTTTAATATAGTACAAGATATTAACTTAGCATTAATATGTGCTGTTTATATATATATATAAATTTTCTATCTTTGTGATATAGGTAGACTGCTATTAAAAAGATTGTCATCTGTCATATTAATATATGTATATATTTTAGGAGGATAGAATTTTCCTACCTGTCGATCTAATTAGCAGAGTCTAACTTATAATATGATGAGATTTAATGTCTAATTTTATATAGGTCAAAGATGGACTCATGTAGTATTAAAAGATAAATCAAAATGATATTAAGCTTCAAAGTATATCATTCCTTTTTCTGTTCTCTGTTATTCTTTTTTTTTTTTCTGACAAAGTAGGCCTTTGTTGTGTTGACACCTTTTTCCTAATGGAAAGATTTTATTTTCTCTTTTTTCCTGAAGAAAAATTTGTTATAGGGAAGAACCCTCTCAAGATTTATAATTTCAATATTCCCAAAGTACAATAAGTTTTGTGTAACTTTGATGTGGCTATTGTAGAAGTGAGTGTGATATTTTGATTGAAGAATTTTGTGGTACTTGGTTGAAATATGAGCAGCTGATTATAATAGGGGATTGTAGTTTTGTATTATATGGTTTTTTTTGTCACGCATTCTAATGCTACTTTCCTTCAATCTTTAGAGGAAATTTTTTCTCAGAATAATTTGCAGCTTTTTGCCACTCTACATAGTGTCTTCTGAATTTGTCCCATAATGATGAGGGAAGAAGTATTTCTAAAACACATGCCATATCTGTTATGATAAATGTTAGATTTGAATGGGCTAATTAAAATAGAAACTTAATGCTATTAATGTGGTGTCTGTAAGGACTTTCTGGATAAATACACGAGAAAAGAAAATAATCAAAGACTTGTCTAAATAGAAGGTAATTTAACTAATTTTTAAATAAACTAATATTTCAGCTATTCCTCTTATGAGTTGTATTATATTTGTTACTCTCCATAATATTTTTACTGTCTTGAAGTAATTCAATGAAATATTGATCTAATATCCATATTCTATTTTCATGTGTACACATTTACTTGGGAAAGTTAAAAGGTATAGATCCATTGAAACTATTTTTATTACTATCTTTGATGGTGATTTAATGAAATTCTTTTCTTTAGATGATGATTGTACGTTCTGAAATCATTTTCACAGATTTTCAGTGGCCTCAGTAATGTCTTAAATATTATGGTCCTACAATTAACTTTGTTTTCACTAATGGTATCTTTCTTTAATACCAGTGTTCAGGAGTGGCTGTTCATCAATAATTATAAACCTTTAAATTCTCTTTTTTCAATATTAACTTAATTTTTCTAGTCCTACTAACCCACTTTAGCTAACCAATTTGCCATCAGTTCTTCTATATTCTTTTTTTTTTTTTTAAGATCTTATGTGTTTGATTTATCTTTCAACAACCATGCACAGGATTCTTTCTCAAGACGACTTGAGGTCCTATCCTTCAGTCACTTTTACCTTTTGAGTACATTCACTCACACCCATCTCCTTTGTCTATGTCTGTTCATTACACGATGTGATCACAGAAGAAGTGGACTCCACAAGGAGAAGACATGCAGGTCTGTCTCTTCTACTGCTTTTCTTTCTTATTTTTCCATTTATCTAAAGTTTACTAATAATTTTCTACTCTGTTTTATTCATTTCATAATTTTTCATACACCTCTAATTTAATAAAATATTAAATTTTGCAGGCATTTTTATTTCAGATAGTTGTATATTCAATCTTTAACAGCAACTGTGCCAATTTGATCAACAAAAATAAAATGATTAATTTTATGCAATTTGCATATTTGGATATATTCATGTATTTTTCATAACTAGATAACTATATTCAAGTATAGGTAGTCAGCAAGATTAAATTAAAACATTAATCATAATTTATTCTTCAATTTACTTTAGATATAAAACTGTTCCCTTTATATATATATATATTTCTAAAAGTATTTTATTGTTATTATGAATTCAGCAATGTGTAGACAATAGAGAATAATAAAGACCTCAAGCTTGTCCTAAAAAAACTTTTGGTATCACCAAGGAGTTAAAATATGTGGGTAACATGTTATGTTTATGTGTCAACATGGATGACTTTAGCATTATATTCTACAAAGCAATATAGTCAAATAAAATTTGTTCCAGTTAGAAGGCCAGAAAAGCTTCATGGGAAAAGTAATCTTGAGTTAAAATAAACATTCATTCAGTACACATTTATTACGCACATGCTATGTGATATTGTTAGAGGTGCTGGAAATAACAAGACACAGAAGGTAGTTACCTCTCCCCACTGGCTTTTTCTAGTGTGAATGTAAAAAAATCAATGCAATACTTATATGTGTAGTGTGAGAAAGTTTTATTTTACATGGAATATGATGGAATCATTTCTAACCAAGAAAGTCAAGAATGACTTCATAGATGAGATGTAAAATGCTAAGAAGGTTATTTGCCTCGTGTATTAACAGCATTTCAGGCAAAAGAGACTATATAGGTAAAAGGTTTGGGCAAAAATAGGCAAGGACCAGCTTCTCTAAGATCATGTATATTACTGAAACAAGTAAAGCAAGAGATGAACAAGATGAGGTTATTTAAAGATGTAGAATGTAAAATTACTGGTTGGATATTACTAATTGGATAGTATTGATGCAGGACAAGTATAAGATAATCCAATTGAAATGTTTGAATAGCTAAATGGAAGTACATTTTTATCAAGATAGTGAATATAGGCTGAGCAAGTTTTAGGAGAAAATAGAGTTCAATTTGGAGATAGGTTGAATTTTAGCTTTCTTTGGAATATTCAGTGATAAATATAGAAGTGTTTGTATGTATATACCTGTCACTCAAAAGAAAATATGTGGAATTGCTAGACACATATGAAGAATAAGACCAGTACCAAGAATCAAAATTCTGGTATCACCGACATTGATAATTGATGAGTGAACAGAAGAACAAGAACCAGAAAACTATGTTTAAAGGAACCATTCAAGGACTATAAGATATCCAGAAAAGAAACTACCTGGAAAAGAATTCAAGAAAAGAAAGTCTTTCAAGAAAGGATATATTAAATAGAAAAATTTCAGGGAAGGCAAATATCTTGTTAAATGTTGAATCTAATCAATAATGATCTGTGTCTGATTCATTTCAGTGAAGTTGTGGATGATAGAAGCCAGACTGAAGAGAAGGGAAAGATTATGCTTAAAAAGAACAAGGTGAATGCAGACTATGTTCCCGGATGGCTAGGGAAAATTATAAAATTAAACGTGGGAGTTTGTTGGGGCAGTTACATTAGAAAGAAAAAAAATGAGGATGTTGAGAGTGGCAAGCAAGGAAAGTAATTGTAGTGATGTCCAAAATATATTAAAGAAGATTCTAATTAAAACATGACTGATGTAGTGTTCAATGAACTGGGAGAGAAGTTCAATGAAAAACTGGAATTTCTGAAGATATTATAACCTAGTGGAAGCAAGTGGAGCCAGTTATTTATTTATGCCAAAGATTTATTTAATTATGTTTAGAGTTTTCAAATGTTAAACAGTTGCAAATAATATAAAGTGTTTTTTTCTAGGAGTGGGTTTCTGGGGTGGACCTTGGATTACAGCTTGGGAAAGCAAGAAAATCAACAAACTTTGAAGCCATAGTTTTGATACAGTGAATTAGGACATCACTGAAGGTTTAAGACAGATAGAAAATAGATGGGGAAAAAAATGCCTGCAGGTAGATTGTAAGCAAGAAAATATAAAGGCATGAATATAAAATTAGATTTTATGTGAATTTATAAAAGTAAATATGGAATCAACAATGCAGATTTGGGAGAATGCAAGTAATACTTTCAGGCTTCTATTTAAAGTTTATAATTTTGAACAGTCTCCTTTCTAGATTATTTCTGATGGAGTTTTTGTTGAAGCATCAATTTTCCATTCAGAATAAGAACTGAAATGAGCATGTAAGATTTAAGTAAAAGGAGTAGGGTTTTCAGATCCATAATGGAGAAAATTAGGGTGTCTTGCAGCAAATGAGGAAATTTATAGAAAGAAGCATAAGATAAGTTCAGTTGACATTACAATTGGCAATGTTAAGAAACGTTAAGGAAAAATAGGCACTGGGAGAGGAGAGAAATGGACTATTTAATTTGGCAATGGAGAAAAATTAAGGAATATAAACTTTAGGAATGGAATTCAATAAAGTGAAATGAGGAGTAATGATTTGCATGAAGACAAAAGTAAAGTACTTAGTTGAGGGAGCTTGAAAGAGGAAAAGATTAATAATAGAAACAGTTTTCATTAGGAAACCATTGGTATCTAGTATGTATGTAGATGTTTAGATTTATGGAGGAAAGAGAATGTTACATTGTATTCAATTAGGTCCTAGATTATTGAGCTAACTAAATATAATTGGAAATCTTTCTCAGAATCAACTTAAAACTACAGTTGTAGCTATAGCCCTCTCACATTTCTCTTCCTCCTGTTGTAAGTTAAAAAATGGGCTTTCTCAGTTCTAGCTGTAGACCCCTAGTACTGTAAGTTGGGGCGTGTTCTGTATTAGCTCTCAATTAGCATTACCAAATCCAAGCCTACGCGTAAATGAAGGCTAGTGCATTCTATTTCAAAGGAACTAAAAACAGAGAATGATAGAGAAGGTAATAGAATTTTTAAAAGCAGTACATTTTATGAAATACAATTCAGGATGGATTGCACCTGTTTAGGAAATGTTAGATAAAATTAAGGCTTTTAAAAAACTGACTGGAGTGTATGACCAATCAAATATAATGTTTTTGTATTAGCTTATCATTCCTGCCTCTTAGGAATACATAAGCTGGTTATTTTTCTTTATTAACACCTAGTCATACTTCAACCCAAAATGTATTGAAAAAGTAATCTCTTAAGACTAGTCATTTCCCAGACATAGTTAATCGAAGTATATATTTTATATCATAATCATAGGGCCTCCATGTGTGTTCACTGACCAAGTATAGTTAGTCACTACAACATAATTCTACTCAGTGAGTGGAGGAATGAAGTTGATCACTCATTTTGAAGAAGCTAAAACTTGATTTTAGCTTTTGTAATTCATAATTGAGTTTCTTTTAAATGAGAAGTTACATGTTTTATTAGGGTCATACTCTTCTTATTCTTTGGAAATTCCATATATAGTTTTATATTTTTTAGTTGCAAAATATGTTTGATTCCATTTGAAAGAGCGCCAACAATAAAAAAAAGATTTTAAAATTACAGTTTGGTAAATGACCTAAAACATTTGTTCATGCTTTTAAATTAAAGTCCCAACTACACAAAATTTTAGAGAACTTCTGACCTGGTTTACAGTATCTGGATATTAATACTTGTGTAATATATTTGTTTTATTCAGAAGGAGATCTCAAAAATAAAAGAGGTTTTCTACCATCTTTGGTAAGAATTCTTACTAATTTTTACCAAATTTTATATTTTTTATATATTAACTATTTTATTATGATTCTGTGCTACATTAAGTGATTTAGGAAATGTTATAAAATTTATTTTGAACTGACCCATTGGCTTGTTTGCCACTAATTTTAATTAGGAGCGCTTACAATTCTAGTTGGACAGTTTCAGACACTTGCTAATTAAAATGCAATTGGGAGTAAGTTATATGTACTAAATGTTGTCATTATAATCCTTTTAAGTTTTTTCCAGTTTTTTAAGGTATACTTTACATATAACTGAATTAGTGTAAATGATACAACACAGTGATTTCAGTATGCATGTATTGTGAAATGATTTCCATGATAAGTTAGCATCCTGTAATTCATAGTAAAATTATTATTTCTTGCTAGGGTTAGCTAAAAGAACATTTTCAAAGTGAATACAATTACAATATTCTTTTGAGTATGCAAACAGTTCCTCTTTTGTTTTATTTTTCTGGTTGTTCTGAATGTTGCCCATCAATATGTATACTTCAGGCTCGCACTCCAGTGTTCATCGGACTCATCTAGTGTATGCACCCTCATCTAGTGCTATGTACTGCCACTGGATGTTTGTTCTACTTGTGTTTGCTCTAAAAAGGGTACATGTCACATGCTTGTGTATATGTGTATTTGTAAAATATATATATATATATATATATATATAAATATGAAGTTCTTTACATATAGAAGTTCCTAAAAGTCCCCAAATCTTCAATAATGACTTATCAATTTTATCATTACATATTCTACTCATTTATGGATGTTTTCTATGCCTATTTAAATGGAGTCTTAATGAAGAAAGTCTAAGGCACATACATTCAAGATTTGCTCACTCATGAAAACCATGCTCAAATATAAGAAAAGAGTTAAAGTTCATAGAATTTGAATTTGTAAGAATACCCAAACATGGAATAAATAAGTGTTGGTAATTTCTTTCTTTAGTGGGGAGTGTGGAAGAAACGGAAGATAATTAGAATTGGCGCCAAGTGATGTAATCCTGTTACTGAATTGTATAATCCTAGACACATAATTTATGTCTTTGCATTTCAGTTATCTCACATTTTAAATGAGAGTTTAGAATATCTTTTTAAAATTTTTATATACAGCTATAACATTCCATCTACTTTG